ATTGGATGATGAATTATGTACAAGACTGGAAGCAAATATACATCAAGGCAAAAATAAACAAAAAATCCATCTCATCAAGGATTACCTGAGTATATCTCTCTGAAGTGTAGGAGTAATCTTCTGTAGTTTATGACAGTTGAGATCTCTTGAATGAGATGGTTTCCCACTTCCCTCGGCACGTGGCTTCTGCCAAGTCTGTCTCTAATATTTTTCTGAAACCATTCATGTGATTCGGTTGAGTACTTTGAAGGCTTCAGACATTCTAAAGAACTTTTTCACTCCAAACTCATTCTTGTAAACAAGTTTGAGTTCGGGTTAAGACAAGACAGAGGCAGAGCGTATCTCCTGCAGACCCTAGAATTCTTCGTTTGGTGGAGCACAGGATAGCCTCTCAATGCCCAGCCTTAGCGCAATCTTGAAGTCCGTTTTGGCTCTTAGCTTTACCAGGGACTCCATTGTCTTTACTATCGGTCAATTTGCCATTCCAAACCTTACGCCGTGATCCTGCCTCTGAGCTGTGTAGGCGTATTATTCGATTAAGTCGTACGGGTTGAGATTAGTGAGATCATTTTCGTTAAACACGCTAATGATCCCATGGGCTCTCTCCACGGTGAGCTCAATGTATCTAATAGCTCGGTTGGCGAAGGATTTTATCTTTAAGTCTTTGACTATCCTTATTCTTTCATTTGAGAAGACAACTTGAGGATCTTGAGTAGTTTGTCTGACGAAACGATGGTGTAGGAGGTCTATTGATTCAGGCGATAGGATTGGAGGATTTGTTGAAAAACTTTCATCGCTATCTTTGTACATATATTGATGGATATTCTCCATCATTACTGGTTCCCTGGGTGGCACTTKAGGTCTTCTTCTCATCGACTCCATCTGCTAAATAATCTCGTCCACTAGGCCTGTTGGAGGATGCCTTGAGGAAGAGGGAACATCCGCTTGCACCATTGGTTGTGTTTGGCTTGGTTGGGTTGTTCCAGGTTCTTGGGTTTCTGTTGGTTATTGAGGTGATGAAGGTTGGGTTATTATAGGTTCTGGTTGTTGGGGTGATGAAGGTTGGGCTGTAGTGGGCTCTGGTTGTATGGGTGAAGAAGGTTGGGTTGTTATGGGCTCTAGTTGTAGAGAGATGATGAAAGGTTGAGTTGTGCGGGGTGTTGGTGAAGGGGTTAAGGGTAGGTTTATATTTGGTGTAGGAGAAAGAGGTTGATGTGTTTGAGGGGTGGTTGGTTCTTCATCGGTTGAGGAACTCAACACGATGGGCTCTTGGGTTGTAGCCAAGGGAACCTGGATATACGGTTGATCATCAGAGGGCGAGGCCCCTGGTTCCCTTGCTTGGGTTTCTTGGGGTGATGGTTGGTGTGGTGCTGGTTGCTATGGTGCAGCGGATGTTGAAGTGTATGCAGCCGCCGCCTCTTTCTCCCCCTCACGAGGGCCAAGGCCTTGATCCTCGGGGTCTTGGTCATCGTGGCGTCTTCTTTTGCTCGGGCGGCTGCTTGAACAAGAGGCTTGGGACCTCTTCTTCTTCTTTTCCCTCATGAGGKATGTAAGATACTCCCTCAGGGTTGGCTTTCTTCTGGTCTCCTTCATTGAACGGAGGAGAGATGATGTATATCGTTGTTCATCGACCATTGATTGAGTGAGAGCCCTTGTTGGTTGGACGGCTCGATGAACAAACTTTGTACTGATCTCGTTGAAAGAGGAGACCAGTGCTCTTGACAATGCTTGCATGTCTGCCTTTGTGGCAAACTCGGTGGTGGAGGTGGAGGCTGTAGGTTGTGATGGGATGGTGGAGGTTGAAGTTGGTGGGGGAATGGGGAGGTTGGCGATTA